AAATATTTATTTTGAAGTTTATTCACAATTTGTTTTTTTGTTTTGACCTAGAATTTAGAAAAGATTTAAGAATTAAAATAATTAAAGAGATACATACTTAGGTTAAGATCTGCACTTTATGCACAATAAGTATTTTATATTTATTATTTTATATTTTTCTGCATATTAGAAAATAATAAATTGGCGTATGCATATAAATTTAACTATCTTTCTTGTTTATTCGCAATTAGGGTAAATAAATCAAAATAATCAGTCTTATATATTGTATATGATATATAATTAAATTTAATGATATAAACATAGTATTATAGCCAAATTTTAATATGGATATTTATTAAATGAGGTTTCTACTCATATGATTTTATGATTATTTGCATATTTTTGTAACAAAACTTTACACCAACGATTTTTTTTTAATGTGAGATGTTTAGTAGTTTTAATAATTTATAATCATTTTAAAAAACAGTGATATATTTTAAAATTAAAATATTAACTTTCAATATATGTTCAAGGCAAATATCAAAATATAAGTATGTATTTTCATACGATGTATATTTTAATTAAAAAGATAAAATATATATAAACTAAAATTATTTTTTCATATGTTTTTATAATCATTATATTTAATATATATACAAAAATAAAACATTGATCCTAAAATTTTATGTGGGATTTTTAAAATTTTTAGTAATTTATACTCATTTTGAAAATTCGAAATACAACATACACAAAAAGAAAATTTAGATTTTTATTATATGATTAATGTAATTGTGTAATTTATTTTAATGATAAAGAAATAAACAAAATGAGAAAAAGTATACAGACTGTTATCAAATCTTTATTGTTTAAAATTATTAATTTTCAAATATATATTTTAATCACATTAGGTAATTTCGTAGGTTTTGTTTAAGGAAATCACGCGAAACAATAAATATTTGATATATGCGACCAACATTAGCCTATGAAATATTATATTGCTAGAAAGAATAATTTTTAGACTATACATTATATTACATGCTCTAGAATTCTTGGGATTTGAAATAGAAACCAAAAAACTATGCCACATAGGTTTAGGGTTATTTTTAATTTTTACAAACTCAAAGTTACAATTTTTTAAATGATTCCCACTTAATATATAGGGGATACGCATATAAGTATCGAAACTATGCATATACCTTCCGCAAAGAAAAACAATACACTCAACGAAGAGTATTAATCTCAAACTTTCTTTAGTGAATAGATTTTTCTTCTCTTTAGTTTTGAGATTAAAAAATATATATAATTAGCTCGGTCTAAACAAAGAAATTCTTTTAAATAACTCTTTTTAGTTTATTTTACCCAAAATAGTTTTCAAAGAAAAAAATGATCAAAATAAATTTTTATTAATGGTAAATATGCATTTATATCTTTTGATTAAATAATCTACATTTGAGATTTAGAATTAAAATGTGAAATTTTGGATTAGGAATTCCAAATTTAAAAAAAATAAATATTACAAATTTCAAATAAAAATAGATTATTTGGATCATTTTATTTTTTAGGATTATTTTTATAATAAAAAAATTTTAAAATATTATTTGAGAGAATTGCCCAACCAAATATAATGAATGGATGAATCGTGTTAAGCCCATTTTTAGAGACAAATCCAGTTTGGATTGAAATGATGTAGTTTATCTATGGAACATTCTTTATTCTTCAATTACATTTTAGAACTCTTCATTAACCAAAAATAGTGTTTTTTGAATCCGATCCGAATAAGCGGTTGAATCAATAAATCTGATGACTCAAGATAAATTCGATATGGGTTTTGTGAAAAAAACCAAACAAAATATGCAAAAAAATCAATAAAACCAAGAATTCAATCTAAACTATTAAAATTGAAGTACAGATAAGAAATAACCCTTATTTTTCCTCAAAATTTACAAGTCTATGCCATTGAATTAATACCAATTGATTTAACATAATTATCTATTATTCTTTCACTAAACCCAACCGATTGGAACCTACAATTAATTTAGAGTTTATGTTCAATATTTCCGTGTATGCTTTGTGGAAAATTTTCTTCTTCTCAACCTATAATTTTCCTTTCAGTTATATCCACCATATCATTTCTGACCACCTCCTCCATATACACTACGGATACATAAAGTTTTTTTTTACATAGCATAGTAATTACAATTTGAATTACTTACCGTTTTGTTAAAATTCTATCAAAAACCATATACTTTATATAAATACATTTAAAAAATTCATTATAAATCACTATAAAGTTAAGATGTTTTGCTCTCATATCTTTTATATTAGACAACTAGATCTGAATCAGATTATATGCTACATATAACTAAAGCTTTTTTAGAAAAATATACACGACAAAGTTGGTTGCCGTATATTTAGCAAATTGTGTAACCTATTTAAGAAAATCTATGCACTCAATATGGAAACAATATAAAATAAGGATATGAAATTTTAAACTAAACTTCCACGTTTTTCTGAAGATATTTGGTGGTGTGATTCACTCGTATTTAACCGTTCTTATTAGGAAGGTTTTGGAGATATTGTAATCAATAATAAAATTATACAATAGGAATATTTTAAGAAAAATAAACATCATATTTTACATCTATCCTATTAAAATTGAAGTATCAATATCAATTAACCTTCAAAATAACCTTTTAATTACATATAATGCCACAAAAATTAACTAATTTTAGTTTTTAGCATTAATTATTTTTAACAGAATCTTTTTTTAAAAAATACAATCAATTAATTTTATTTATAGCCAACATTAATGATTGTTTCTTAAAGTAAACAATTAACTAATTTATCTGCAACTGATTATATATATATAGAAACTAACACAAATAATATGATAATATAAAATTATTTTTACCATTTCGTATATATTAAACATATCAATTTTTCTAATTCAAAAATAAGTAGTCAATTTATATCATATATAATTACTATTTTGCATTTTTTAAATATTAATATACATGAATAACATAAAATTAACATAAAATACATATCAATTCAATTAATTACTTACTTATTGTTTACTAAAAATATTATATGTGATAAATGT